AAAAAAAAAACATGGCGAAATCCACAACAAGAGCGTTTGGAATAAAACGTCCTCAAATAAGGATTTTTTAAAATATATATATATATATATATTTACAGCAGAGTTTGAAGAAAAGAAATGCGATTTAAAAAAAATAAATAAACTCGACGTCAGAGTTTTTGCGCATATGAAAGTTTGGAGGTTAAAAAAACAAAATCGCGTCCGCGTTCACGTCCACGAGCCCCCGGTCAGTGAAGGTCCAGAGTCAGCCTTACCCATTTGTGTCTGTTTTCAGATGATGGTGTTAAATAAAAAAAAACAAAAACAAAAATTAAAAAAAAAATCTCGGCTTCTTCAAATGGCTGAACTTGTCCGAGCGAAAGAAGAAGAAGAAGAAGAAAAGAGGGGACGGAGAGGGGGGACGGAGAGGGGGGAGTCTGAAGCTGCAGAGGACCGAGCCCCAGAAGAGACAGGACCTCCTAAAATCTCCGGCTCCGACTGCAGCGCGTCCCCGTGGTTGTGTGACAGCACCGCGGCACCAGAGCGCTCTTCATCCGATCAAAGCCAATTGAAGTTGTCCGCGAGAGTCCGGACTTCACCGGGATTCATTTGACGCGTCCTCCACGTCAATCTCCAGCAGTTATACGCCGAGCCAGTGCTGCCTTCTCATTGGTGGCTGCCCGCCTGGAGGCGCTGTCAGCCAATACGAAGCCCATCCGGTCGGAGCCGCGCAGCCTCCTTGAATTTTTTTTTTTTTTTTTTTTTTTTGCTGCATAAAGGGAAGTGGCAGAAAAGGAAACGTTTCCTTGTAATAACGAGCGGCCCTCCCGGTGATGAGGCGCGCGGACGTGCACGCGCATCTGTCAGTGCGGAGTCAACCGTTCATGACACATATAAAAATATATGTTTTATGTCAATATGTGTCTGGTGGTGTGTATTTAAACCCCACACTTTTACCCCAAGGTGCAGTTATCCAAGTCACCGAACGTCACACCGTGTTATCTGGTGCAAGGGGTTTCAAACTCCCGGCTCGGGGACCACTTCTGGCCCGTGAACCTTCCACATCTGGCCCGCAAATGCAACAAGTATTTAAGTTGTTGGGCTAGTAGAGTTTAGGAAACTATGTTTTACGCTGTTTCACGTCGTAACTTTTTTTTTAGACGTAGCGCTGACGTAGCGGAAAATCTAAGGAGAAAAACTTTGATTTATTCATTTATTTTCATGGTAATTAAAATGTAACCACGAGTTCATGACTCTCTCAGTCAGTGCAGTTGTTACAGTATTTGTAATTAAACTGTGGCCCTCAGATCTTTTGAGCTAATGTTGGTGGATCTAAAGGTGGTCTTAATTAAGGTGGTATTTCCTAAACGTGCGTAAAGGAACAAGAGTGAAATTTCTTCTTCTTTTTCTTTCATTTTTTTTTCAAAAAACAATTTAAAAACTCGGCAATGAGTCAATCAATCCATAGGTACGTCATCACAACAATTAAACACTTCCGGTTTTGTACCAACAACACCTTCAGTGATCGTGTATTTATTTTATACCTGAAACACTTTTGATTTTACTCCTGCTGTGTTTCAGAGCAGGTTACCACGCAGTGTGACGTAGTGACGTCGCTCCACAAAGGTCAATGTCAGATTTAAATGACTTTGGATTCATTAATATTTTATACTGATTTTTATTTATTTATTTTTTAATTCTCTCCCACGGTCCTGCAGGTTTGCGTGACGGCCTTGTGTAATCGAACCCTCCGCTGATTGGAGCCGTGACAGAATATATTTCGGAAATCCACTGTTTCCACAGACTCGTGTTCTCACAGCGGGTTCTCGGTTTCCTGTGAGTTTTTTTTTTTTTTTTTTTTTTTAATTTTTTTTGGACCATCTTTTTTATACGCTCGCAAAATGTCACTTGTAAAAACGTAACGGTCGACCCAGCGGTAACAGGGTGCAGCGTCCTCACCCTCCTCACCCTCCTCACCCTCCTCACACCGACCCATCCCGCCCCTCACTCCTCCAACACTGTGCCCACCAGCCTCTCCAGTGTCAGTGGTGGAGGAGCGCGCGTGAAGGAGTCCGTTCCTGTCCGTCATTGTCTGTCCTCTAGATTCGCGGCGGTTCTTGTTCGAGTTCTCCAGGAATCAGAACTGTTGGAGGT